AGCATGGGATTTTATACTACCACTCAGCAGGGAACGAGCGCAGGATTATGGTTCCCACCAGTCAGTAGCAGCATATTCTTAAGGAGCACCATGATGTACCTACAGCCGGACACTTGGGTGTTGAGAGGACTGTGGAGATGTTGCAACGAGTTTACTGGTGGAAGGGGATTCGTCAGTCAGTGAGGGACTACATCAGAACCTGCCCGAAGTGCCAGATGTTCAAGTCAGAGAATCAAGCACCAAAAGGACTTCGGCAGGCGATTCCAGTTCCAACAGCTAAGTGGGAACAGATTACCACTGATCTTGTGACGGATTTACCTGAATCACATGGACATACAGCTGTTGCAGTATTTGTGGATCGACTCACCAAGTTTGTCATTTTTGTTCTTTGCCGGAAAGAGTTGAATGCAGTGGGCTACGCGAGGCTGTTTTTCAATAATGTCTTCAAGATTTCAGGTCTACCTCGCGCTATCATCAGTGATAGGGACCCCAGATTTTTGAGTAAGTTCTGGCAGGAGCTTTTCAGACTTCTTGGCACCAAATTGCGCATGTCCACTGCGTACCATCCGGAGACAGATGGTCAGTCCGAGGTCTCCATACGCACGCTGGAAAATTTCTTGAGGCCATACGTTGAAGAGCATCCAGAGGAGTGGAGTACCTACCTTCCTTTGGCAGAATTTGCAGTGAGGAATGCTATCAACGTAGCGACCGGATATAACCCGTTTTATTTGATGTATGAACAGCATGTACAGGCTCCAGTGGGACTCATGGCTGAGAAGACAGTTGACACCAGGGTAGAGTCAGTGGATGTTATGGTCAGCAGGATGCAGAAGGTGGTGTTCAGTGCTATAAAGCATTATGAGAGGGCACAGGAGAGGATGGTTACAACTGCCAACAAGCGTCGTCGTGATGTACAGTTTCAGCCTGGAGATGAAGTTGTGGTGAGAACAGCATTTTTGCCCTCCACAACTTTCAAGCATATTCCAGTGAAGATCAGGCATCGTTACATTGGACATTTTCAGGTGGTGAAGGCAGTTTCCCCAGTTGCATACACTCTCCAGTTACCATCCAGCTGGCGCATTCATCCGACCTTCCACATTGAGAAGCTGAAGAAGTATGAGCGCAGTGAGACGTTTCAGCACACCGTCAGTTCGCCTCCGGAGTCACTAGAGGTAGAGGGCGAGCAAGAGTTTGAGGTTGAGGCGATCATCAGACATCATGGCAGCGCTTCTAGAAGACAGTACTTGGTAGCCTGGAAAGGCTATGAGCTTCATGAAGCAACCTGGGAGCCAGAGGCCAACCTCACGCATTGTTCGGACCTCGTTGCAGAATACCTCCTCAGGCTACAACGACAAGAGGCAATCAAGAAGACCAGACAGAAACGCCGAAAGAAGTGATGGACTGCATGGACATATGGATTGCAAGGGTTCATTATGAGTTGGATCGTGGTATGGGACACGGCTAGTCTGACTTATTGTGGATTTCTGTTAGGTACGCCGTATCTTCTTTCTTGCTGGTTTTCTGGGTCATTGGTCTCGTGGCCGAGGACGGCCACACTTGGTGGGGGGGGGGGAGAATTGATACGGTTGCTTTGGTAGATGAATTAGATGTATTTGATTACCCTAAATGGGTCTGAGTTGGGTAAACTAGCCCTGTGGTGGTTACAAAGGACATGGGACAATGAATGGAACAATTAAAGACAATCTTATATAATGTACAAATGTAGTAACCGCCCGGGGATTCCGACTCCCCGTTCATCCGACCTGTGCGCCCGAGGGAGCTTCCAAGCTCCTGCATCACCTTGACCACGCCACGTGAAAGGTCTCGGTTTGCAGTAAGGCCGATCTGCCTCTGGTGCAGCCCAAGCGATGGATGAGTCCGAATCCCATGCCACTCGGTTCACTTGGTAGTGGTGGCGGACTGCCTGCCGGAAGCTGAACGCCCACTAACGCGTGGGAATGGAGGAAACGATGTAGGCTTTCCGTCGGAGGCACATCGGTCTCGTTGTCCTCAAGAGGCGCCACTTCCATGTCCAGGGTACTACCGTTCGCACCCAGAACTCGGGTATGCAAGTTCCGCTGGCCGCAAACCACTCAAAAGGCACCCCGCAGGGTCCTATTACAACCGCGAGAAGGTCCCTCTACCCTTCCATGGTGAGTGCATTCATTCTTGGCCCTCTGGAAAGGATCGCGCTTTCACCTTGCCCGTCCATTGCGAGAAAGTCCGCAATGTTGGGGACACTCGCCATGACTTCCCGGACCGTCATGCACTATTAGCAGGTTTTGGAATTTGCTTGCACACCGTGCACAAGCCTTCCAGGCCGAGGGTTCTTAACCGGAGGCGTTTCGGGCACAGGGCTCATTCTCGTGGCTCTGTATGGATGACTTGGCCGTTAGGCTATGTAACACATCAAAAAGTGGCTTAGTTGCACTAGGCAACATATAGGACCATCCCCATACCTTTGTCAGTATTAGTGGGGAAACATGGGAGGCCAGTGCAATGCAAATCGGTCGCGCTTTATCATAGTACGACATCCAAATATGGATATCAATCAAACTATATTACTAATAAGCAAATAAGAGCAAATGTACAAGCCTTGTACTTAGGCCTTAGGCCCATCCTTGTCCCGTCCAGCCTGGGTGGGGCTTTGACAGACTGGCATTGAGTTTCAGTTGCATTCCAAACTCCCTTTCAAATGTTTTAGGGCTGCAAATCAGCCCGACCACTTGTCAGTGTCTGTATTGCCCTGCGGGCCATGCACTAACATCTGATTGAGCCTCAGACGGCAGAAATTCTAGTGTGCACTCTGCCCTGGCTTAATGCATCGATTTAATGACAACGCCGCCTATTTTACCGCATTGGCGGTTTGTACAAAAACATCTGGCCGTTTCAGCGTTCCCTTCCATTAACCATGGTCCACCATTTGGAGCAACCTTGACCATCGTCAAGGTCATATAAAGGTCTCGTTATGCCCTGTCAATCCTTTGTAAATAATAGCCAGTTTTTCATGTACTTTGCTTACACAACTCCTGCCTATGCGTCCTATCGGTGCCCCTAAATGGAATGTTTTAACATGTTCTCCTTTTCTTCTTTTTACTCCCAGCTAGTTGTCTTTTTTTATCAGGCTCACACACTGCCTATCACTACGAAATCCTGATCCATACTTAAACAATCGCTGAACGAAAGCTCTTGGATTTGCATGAAAGGTCATATTTCATGCCCTCCAAACCCTGCCATCTAGTGTTGCCTTTTTGTAGAATAAGGGGCACCGCCATCCCGAGACCCCATGAGCAGTTAATCATTCTCTGAGTCAGTACTCAGTCAGGTGTTATTAAAGCTTCTTTTGACCGTTCACAAATGTGAAGCCGTTGTAGAGCCAGGCAGCGGCTGATGATCGGCATTGTTGACTTCTTCAGCTTTCCCTCCTCTTTTTCTTTCTTTTTCTTTTTCTCTTTTCTGACATTCACCCTGACTGGTTATTTTTCATGGTGTCCCAGTCAGCTGCCATACGTCTGTCATGAGCCCGCCTTTGATGTACCGGTGCTCATGACTAACGGCAGTTCTAACATCCGCAAGAATAACCCCTTTTGCAAATTTACATTCTTGCCCGTGAAAGCGTAAACCTAAACAACGTCAACGTAATAACAAGCCTGCTCCCAGTTTATCATCGATTCGAGGAAACTGAAAGATGCGCCACTTGCCGTGTGTCTCCCCACCTGCTTCGCAGACATCATCGGAGCATCTGCATGGACGGATCCCCAATGATATCTTTTAGCTACGATTGCTCTCAACTTGTGCATGGGGTATGCAACTGCCACACCATTGTTTACTTTATTGGTGATGACGACTTTGTCCATGCCTCTACATGTTGCAACAGATTTCGGAAACGTTACCCAATCCGTGAGCTGCCCCATCTACTTGCACTCATAACGAGACCTCTGCATCCGTCACAGACGCCCTGCGATCGCTGCGCAAGTGATATTGACTTCTGCATTGCTGTCAGTGCTATGGCGAGACTCTCCGCACGTGGCGCCATCACGTTCATCCTGCATGTGGGTATGGCACAACTCCCCTGCCTCCCCCCACATGAAGGGTCTCATAATGCATGCATGTATGCAATGCATGCATCACGGTCCACATCACGCTTGCGTTGGGGTGGTGCAGCCACAACCCAAAGAACATCATCGATTGCCCGTACCGCGGTCGCTTGTTGTATTTTGATCTTGTCAATAAGAAAAAGCACCCCATGGTGCTCACGTCCTACAAACTGTTCCCACTGCCCGTGCCATCCCTCACACGTATCGTTCGTTCTAGGTGTCCAGTGAGCGACACAATCATGTACACTTCATAACCCAGGCGGGTACAATGGAGGGAACGGATTGGGGGGCCATCGCTACGTTGTTGCCTCACCACACCAAGTAGAAAAGTGTCCTCAAAGTATTGGATCAAAGTTGGTGATATTGCAGAGAGCGGCAAAGAAATGGTATTGTAAAACAAGTGCCCACCTTGTCTGGTACGCAATTCACTGACAATACACCAGCGGTACACTTCATCACACGGACGACACCATTCTAGCAACCTAGCGCGACTTAGACACATAATAAAATGGTGCGATGTGGCCAACTTTTCTAGCGTTCACGGAGCGACAGAAAGCTGCTGGACCATTGCGCAATTTACTGTTGCCCCTGGCGCTCCAGTGGACGAAGGCATTGGAGCAGCAGCTTGCAGCAACTGCTCTTAGCCTTCCAGACGAGCAGATGGGTATGCGACACACTTGCAATTCGTCTATTGGCTGCTTCGGAGTGCACATTGCTCCCCAAAAAATCCCCACATACTGTACAAAGAGATGCTTATGGCTGAACACATTCCCCACTCGCCGAAAGACTATCCCAATCCTCCACAGGGCCACAGAACCCCCCAATTATTCACAGATATGTTTGCCCATGCGTCTTTGCAGGAACCAATGTCTTCTCTTCAAAACGAAAACTGCGGGTGCGTCTTCAATTGGGCCATTCGTGCGAGTACTCCGGGATGCCCGTGCTGGGAATGGCACTGATGAAGGCCATGCGAAGCTTTTGCACTTGGAAACGAGCGAGAAGCGCCGCTGCACCAGCGACCACCGCCGCCAATGCCAGTCGCGGGCTGGCCGTCCTACAAGCAAACAAATGGACTAAACCTTTGAAACTGGAACAGATCGAGCAGGAGTCGTGATGATGGTTCAACCGCATGGAAACACAAATGGCACAGCATTGTGTGCTCACAATCGGGCGACTGGCAACCAGTTGGTACTACAAGCACCAGAAATGCCACAAGTGCTCGTACAGGCATGCATTCCCAGAAGTGGTGCATGCACTTTGTTCTGTAATTTGCAGTGTGTTCATCTCTAGGCACTGACTAAACTGGCACCGAACAAGTGGTCAAAAGAATACGATTGGCCCATTTCCAACCAAGTTGTAACACGGTAAATATTGCACGACTGCTCGCAGTTTCCTGTGCTCTGGCCACGAAGTGGCCACACACTTTCAAATATTTAGAATGGCCAAAATTTCTGGGTATAAGTAGGTCCTTCCTTGCCTGATGGCGGCCAGAACCAGCCCCAGTCCAAAGAACGCCGCTGCCACCGTCGAGGCCACAACCTCCACCTTCCCAAACCATTTCAGGGACTTGCGGCAGGAGGGGCACCACTTGCTGTGGCGCTCCCATCGATTGAAGAGGTCGGAAGGGGAATTGTTTAGTACGATCTCACGCTCGTTTGTGTCACCAAACCAGGTGGGTCCCCCCCCCGCGTATCGATCCACCCAGTTCCGCAGTGCCAAGACACCAACGTTTGAGGGCGTTGGGAGGTGGTACTGGCTGCGCCAGCTGCCGCCATTCCTGGGGAGCCATCCATCGGATCGATCAACAGTGCATGAAGCGAATGGCACACAATCGAAAGTGCAACACAACGCTGACAGGAGCAGATTGGTTTACGTGTGCAAACCTTATTTCATCACTTGATTCGGTATGTAGCCACATCGGAGATTTCTAGATTTAGACAGAGACACTACAGTGCTTCGACATGCAATAATTGTGTGAATCAGGGGTTGAAATACATACAATCTGATCACAACAGCTGCAATCACTGCACCGACATCCAAGGAAGGTAATCATCTAAAATATCTGCTGAAATGAGCTGAAAAAAGTTAAGCACAATGCATGTCATGAGCCAGGTCGATGGTGTCCAAATACATGCTGACCAGGTTTCAAAACACTTGTCAACAGAAATGTATGCACAATCGCTTGGAAGATGCAAGGGCTGGCAGCAAACGGTGAACAAAGGGTTAGTGAGACTTCCAGTGAACATGCTGGCATCTTTTGCTGATAGCTGGCCGGTTCAGAATGGCAAACAGACTGTCCACCAGTAAGGCTGGGCTGAGTGTTGAATAGCGCGAACAGCCAATTTTCTCCATTCTCTCACAAACTGTGGGAAATGCAGCTGGTTTTTGTTGCTGCCCTGTACCATCACCACAAGAAAAAACAGGCCAGCATGGACAGCCACTGCTGAGTGTTGCAAGTCTGTGGTCAAGTACCCACCCATTCATCGCAGACATTTACTGTTCATACCCTCACACACCACAGACAGTGAACATCCAAACTGTTTTTTAGAACAGACTATGTGCTGCCACTGTGACCATAGCTGTCTTATACTGGCAAGAGAACTGTTGTGCCAACGAGGAAGATTACTGCACTGTAGATATTGGAAGGTGTGCTTTAGGTATTATTTGTCAGGCACATGCAACCCCCCTTACCCTGCCGCCTGCCGGTCCTCTGTGTGTCCTGCAATGATGTCCTGATTGGACAGCGCATCCCCAAGGTGAAAGAGACCGACTCGCACATACATTGGCAGCAGCAGCTTCGGCAGCTGCCCAATGACAAAGCCTGCCATCTTCACCGTCTTTGAGACCTTGAATGCAACCAGTTGCCCACTCAGTCAGCCAACCAGTCAGGCACAGCCAGGCAGTCAAACCCTTTGGGTTTCACAGTGCTCCAACACCACAGGTTTCACATCGACAGCATCGTCACCAACCTCCAAAAAACCCACCTTCTCAGCGATCGACTCCTTCTTTGGCTTCCAGCCCTCGGGGGGACCCCCCACAATTGTGGAGCTGAACATGATCCGTGTCAGCCCCGGACGCATTGGCACGTAGTGCATCTCTAAGTTCTTTATGGTCCCATCCTGGTCCAGGAACGTCATTATGTTGAGGCAAGGGGGGCAGAAGTCGAGGGTGGTGTTGTAGTCCCATGCGCTCTTGTACATCGTGCTATGAGTCAGGAAGAAGCCACCATTCGCTGTGGTCTCACCAACCTGCCAAAAATCAATATATGCTGATGCACATTTGTTTGCAGGCTGGTGAATCCATTGAAGGAGTCAATCGAACCAGGCTAAAACACAACACAACAGCATCTTGGGTGACTTCACAATGATTGCCTGACTGAAGATTGAGGGCAACTCTTCACATGTTCTTTCCATTGTTTGCTTGCCTTTTGGTTCTTGGATTCAAAAGCATAGAATAGAAGCAAATGAAAGACTTTGCAGGATCCCTAGACAGGTCTGTTTGGCTGTGCAGGGGCCACGTTGCCCAATACAATTTGGTTGCTCCAAGGACGCGTATACACAGTGCAATACACAGCCGGCCATTGTTCAAACCTAAGAACCAGTCACATGAATGCAGCAACGGACCTGACGGAAGTCATGAATAATTCGTGCACCCTCAGGGTGCAGGTATGCGCCCCCAACGCCCACGGCCACCTTGCCATTGTGCAGATAATTCACATGGGCAGGGTCAAAAGTGTTCTCCAGGAGGGTGGCATGGCTGACGGGGTAGTCCAGGGCAAGCCAAAAGGTGTTGGGATCAGTGACCTTGCCCACAACAGGGGAGGCAGCAGCAGAGTCTATCCAGGACGTGGGAGAATCATCTGGCCACACCCACAAGAGACCATGCGCCTCAAGGGTGGGGAAGGCTGCAATCTTGGATCGTGTGCTGGCGCAGGCAGTGGCCTCAGAGGCCGCGTTGACAGCCTGGGGGATGTGGGTGCACTCACCCCTGCCGTTGAAGCACCAGCCTGCGAGGAATGATCGTCATTCAGGTCTAGGTCAGGTGTGAGATCGGCTACTGGATCAATGGCCCAGAAACTCAGAACCCTTGTCACACCTTTGGGGCCAAATGGGAGATGTGTTTGCTTCATGCATCGATGATGGTCATGCATGACGTTATGCAGGCATGACATTGCACACAACTCGTACACATGATGCTGCACGAGAAAATTAACAGAAGTAGAACTTCATGAAGAAAGTGCCATGAGCCACTGGGGAGTGTACACACACTTGAAAAACACACGCCCATCAGCTCCTGCAACATGCAAAAACCATTTCACTCTAACAAACAAAGGGTTTCAAGCCCATCTGCGTTGACATGGACACTATGAAATGGACACGTGCTGCAATGATCCCAGCTGTTTCACTTCTGCAAGATAAGACAAACGGCAGCCCTGGCATCTATCGGCCGATGCCAGCTGTTGTCCACAGCAACAGAGAATGTTGCCAACAGAAATGTTCCAGAACTACAACAGCGCATGTGGTGGTGGCAACAGTGCGTGTGGTGGTGGCAACCACACAGCACATTCTTTTTGCAAAGGCTGTGGCCAAATCTGGTGGCTCTGCAGTCTGTGTAACCCAAACCCTGACCAAGACCATTGGATGACTGGACTGCATCTTTCTGCAAAAAGAATGCAGCAGTCACACAGACTCTGATCTGTTTTTTTTTTCTTCACAATTCCGTAATATTTCTTCACACTGCAGAGTCTGTGAACTGCTCCTGTCCAAAAGAAGATGCCACCATTTTGACAGCTCACAAGAAAGTGCGAAGCCATGTTAAGCCCCATAGAATGAATGAATGCAAGAATGACTGCACACTCTAAAGGGAATCTTGAATCTTGCTTTATGGAGAACAGGGGGACGAGGGCCAGGGAGTAGATCTGAAATCTTATCAAGATGCAAAGGTTCGCTTACTCCAACAAAACAAATCGAGAAACTCCAGCAATATGGTGGATGCATAAAATAACACATCATGGGCAGAGGTCACAACAGTCCATATCTCATGTGTGGCAGGCACATGGCCACAGGAAACGGCCAGTTTGCCTGAGCGTTTCTTGGAAGCAGAAGCCACCGGGCCGAAGGGGCAGATTTCCAAAAGGATCTAAGTAAGTGGGCAGAAGCCGAAACGTGACTTACGCGATACGAGCAAAGGTCACAGGCACCAGCCCCTCCCACTTCCCAGGCAGTGTACGAAATCCAGTTCGTTGACACAATGCCCAAGTGGCGCTGGAGTTCTTGTGCTGATATCGCAGTTCTTTTTGGTCAGTGTCCATTAAAAGCCAACACCCCACAGAAAAGACTGACCAATGCAACGAAATGACTATGATGCTATTGGTACAGCTTTCGACACATTGGATTCTAGCTTCCGACGGAGCCTTGAACCTCCACTGCAATCTGCTGAAAGGCCCATCCCTCCCCACGTGGGCAGTGAATCCTCGAAGGAGCGAGACAAACGCCGCACCATGGTAGCGACACGCCAGCGTGCCGTCCTCCAGCACGCTCCCCAGTGATAGCGCCGTCAGCCTGTGCGGGCACCGGTCCTCCACGGCCCGCCACCTCCCCTCCCCGTCCTTCCACACCACTATGTCCCTCCCCAGAATCGCCATCCTCTGTATCTGCGGCAGCCCGGACTCGAACCCCTCCTCCCGTCCCTCCTCCAGCTGCTTCAGCGGCGCCATTGGGTACCACCGCCGCGTCCAAGAGAACGCCTCCCCCCCGCCAGCCTCCACGGATCGCGCCTCGCGCTCCGGCGCGGCCACGGCGGCAATCTTCGCGCTCCTCCGAAAACGCGGCTGGCAAAGATTCGATCTCTGCGCCTCGACGGATCTCGACATCCTCGTGCGGGCGAACACGGAGTCGCGCGCCGGCAGCGGCGACCAGCGGCAGATCCCGCTCGGCCCGGCCAGCCGATCCAGCCCTTCGGCTTTGGGGCCCATGCACGGCATTGATGAGGCGAGAGGGGTGGCTTGGGAGGAGTTTTGAATCAAGGGGCGTCCGTGTGCGTGCGTGTGTGTGCGCGTGTGTATGTTGGTTTGTGTCAGGATGAGCGGGTGGGTGGGGGGTGGGGGACAAGTGGGTTAGAACGCCTGGGGTGCGGGGCGCTTCCGTGGAGCGAGGTCACCCACAAGGTGTGGGCCGGAGGGGTGGGTGTGGGGCTGTGACGCCTGCGCCACACAAGCTGGCGGTATTGCGGGGGCGTCATTTTGGCCTGGGAGCGTAAGCAACACATTTATATGGATCGTATATGCGGAATTGACGCAATGGAATGGAGTGGGTGTGTTTAAATCGGGATTAGGGCCGTTGGGAGGGAACTTTGCACGGCCAACGGGAGTGTCCGTTGTGGGCACACTTGGATTCGGCATGAATGGTGCTGCCGCTACGCAAACTGGGTATGACTCGCTCAGTGAGCAAGTGTTTGGCACAACACTTAAAGTTGTGGCTAGCTTATGGGCAGCGATCCTTGTTTCAGAGCGCGGTTGGTGATAAAGTCCAGGAAACTGAACTGAGCACAGTTTGCACGGCTGGGAACGTAGTTTCGAGACGATCCGTGCAAACAGGGAACTTGGGACTAAAGGTTGGCGAAACGAGTGTGTGGCTATCTCGTTTTTCGCTTCGCACTCACGCGTCAAGCGTTCTCCTCCGAGCTTTCTGCTCGGTTTCCTAGCTAAGGAAAGCCATCGATCACGATCTGAATTCGTGGTAGCAGTCCAGACCCCGCTAGTCTGTGGTACACCCCCTTGATGGGCGATCCTGCTGCTCGTTTGGCCTAACTCGAAGCCGGACTTCAAGCTCTCCAAGCTGAACAGGCCCCTCCCCAACCCTTGGCCGATCCCGCAGCCCTTGCTGCCGCTGCGGAGGAGGAGCGCCTCCGCCAAGCTCAGCTTGACGATGCAACCTTGTTGACTACGCGGCGAGATCTGTGCATTCATTATACCGGCGATCGGGCGGAGGTGGTCGCTGCCCACGCCATTCGATCCAAGGAGGAGCTTTCCCATTTCGCAGGAACCCTGTCCCCCAACCTCCCCTGCCAACAAGGCCGGATCCGCCTTTCCAATCGCCTCTACCATGTGGGGCCAGGAGTTGGCTACCGCTCTGGGAGCAGAGCTGGGCCCGGCCAAATGGCATAGGAACGGGAACGGAACG